GGGTTAGGGGGGCAGGACTTCTGGTCCCAAGAGGGTGACCAGGGGGTGGGGCAACTGAAGGGGTGGGAATACTCATGTGGCCCTTGACAGCTCGCCAAAACTCATCAAGCAGCCCCCCACCCAAAATAATTGCCTGCCCCTGCCCAAGAGCGTCATATATCAGGCATTCATTGCAGCATGGCAGCTGAGATGCTGAATGTGCTTTATTTGACAAATTTCTGTCCTCATAATCTTACTCCAGTTCCTCTCTGGCTGGATATATAATTAGAGCCATAGATCAGATATTTGTAAAATAAAACAAGTCTCCCTGCCTCTGCCCCTCAAAGTTATGTCTAGTTTGTGCACTGATCATTTGTCTCCTGTTTCTTTAAAGGACGAGTTATGGAGGATCCAAGAGAAGCTGGAATGCTACTTTGGCTCTTTGGTTGGCTCCAACGTTTACATTACCCCTCAGGAGGCTCAGGGCCTTCCTCCCCACTATGATGATGTTGAGGTAAGCCAATAAAACATTAATGAGGGGAAAAATCCTTTCTTGGCCCCTGCAGGCAAGTAACAAACAGACTTGAAAGTTACCTTTTTATCCCAGCTTCCAAAACTTTGTCTTCTTGGATTCTTCCCAATTTCCAAAGTAAATGCATTCTTAGCTAGTTTGTAGTAGTTTGATCTTGTGTTGGTTTCATTTTCAAGTCTGAAAAGCTCTTCTCCTTCCTTAATAGTGACACACAAATGTATTTCTGAAATATATTTAATAAATATACACAGGTATGTATGTATGTATGTATGTATGTATGTATGTATGTATGTATCATAGGTATATGTAATAGGTGTATTTATGAAATACATCCCCCCTCAATTTTTGTGCCAAATTTCTTGAATTTTTCCTGTGTGTTTAATTCCCTTAACCAACTGAGTAGCTCTTCTCTGTATCTGTTCCTGTTTAATCATTTTTGAGCACTGGAACCAGAACTGGATGCAGTATTCTAAATGGGGTATCACTAGCGCTTCATACAGCTTGTTGTACTACAATACAGCCTGCATAATAGATCCCAGAATTATATTGACCGTTTTTGCAACTGCATCATACTTGTGATCTTCCAACCACCAGTTACCCTGCAGCTGACCAGGACAGAGTTCCTCTTTTTCTCAGTTGTCTCTTGTCATAGCCCCATCTTATAGCTCAAGTCATTATTGGGACTGAAGGGTGTGATTTTTCCATTTCATATAATTTCTAATGTTCCATCCACAAGATTATCAAAATCTTCCTGGGTAAAATAAGTATCTGGTCCTCTACCATATCGCCAGCATTCCTTAATTTAGTGTCCTCTGTGGTTTTCATGAGGATGCATTTATTTCCAATACCTATTAACATTTTTACAAGTTAGCTGGTTTATTGGTTACATTTTTAACAGGATTAGCATGGGAATGTGTATCTTGAAAATGCTACAAGGGTGTCTTTAAATCCAACTGTGTCTTCATCAACCTTCTAGCAATAACAACAGAAGCATTCTAATATTAAACATATTAAATAAAACAAACTGTGAAGCTGGGGTTTACATTACTTTTCTCTCTCATGTTTCAACTGTCATGTTATAAGGATAATGCATTTTCTTTCCTCAGGATATTTCTAATTTGGATAAAGAAATATTGCAAATAAAATGTGTAGGTGTCTTATCACAACTCACTTTATCTGTTATTTTATTTTAAATTGCATTTCAGTTAAATGTTTTTAGCATTTTTGTTACAGAAATTTTAGCTGCACATGTATTTACAGCCACGTAGTGAATGTAAAACACATCTCTCAGCTGCCTAAAATGGGAGGGAGAAATATTGCAACTGCTGGAACAGTTCCAAAAAGACTTCTGAAGTCTGTGACGGGCAATATTCACTGATTGTTTCAGAGGCTCTGCATTCTTACACAACTAGCAGAGAATTATTTTTGAACTTTGTGCAGTGGTGGATGTCACCAGGAAAGCCATCACTTTGATGGGTGGGTGTGTTTGCTGCTTTGCTACTTGTCTCTCTGATTTCTGACTCGGCTTTTATGGATTTTTTTCAGACAGCAGGGATTCAAAATCTGATTATTGGGAGGCTTGAGGGGAAGCTAGGTTTTTTGATGCATTGATGCATGTTGGTATGTGTCCTCTGCAGGTGTTTATACTTCAGCTGGAAGGAGAAAAACACTGGCGGCTCTACAAACCTACTGTTCCCCTAGCTCGGGAGTATAGTGTTGAATCAGAGGATAGGATTGGGAATCCAACGCATGAATTCACGTTAAAGGTACTGTTTGTGGTATGTGGCTTTCCCAACCTTAGCGGATCATAATTTTCTACTCCGGCACGTTAAAAACATATTTAATACTGTGAAAGGTAGTGCACAGAGAACAGTTGGAGTAGTCATGTATCTTTCCAGCTGGTACCACAAAACTCTATTAAAAAATCTTGTCTTTCCTCACTTAGCTGTCCTTTTTCATTATCTAAATATTACCAGAGTATTGAGATAATGGACTTTTAAAATAAACAGTTTTTCTAAAAACCTGTCATGCATGAGTTTTGGCACACTAAGGGTGCTTATGCAAGTTACATTTTTCACGTGATCGGACCCCTGAAAGCTCTCTACAGCTGTGACAATGCATGTGCATGGCTGCAGAGCACTTCTAAAATGGCCGATCGTGCAAAAAATGAACCCATGTCACATCAGGTATTAGATGAAGGTGCTTTAAAACAGAGTGCTATAGGGAACTTGTGCTCCTTCCAGAGTTAATTTTTCACACCTTATGGGGCTGGGCTGGCGCTTGTCAGTGAGCACCAGCCGAGCCCTGGCCCTGTTAGCAGGGGAGAGAGGGGGAGAAAAAGGGAAGGCGGAGGGAACAGTATGGATCTGTTGGCTGCTTTGCCTGCCTGGAGCTGGAGGGGCCGGAGTAGAACAGAGCTGGGATATTGCGGGGAGACCTCCCCCCCCGCCCACCTGCCATCACTCCCCACTTGCCGGGTCTGGTGCAGCTTCTCAGACCCTCAGGTGAATATCTGTTGGGTTGGGAGAATGAGACGGGGGGGG